AATAAATAAAATTTAAAAAACTAAAAAAAAAACCCCAAAACCCAAGATACACATTTATGTTTTTGCCTGACAACCACTAGCAATGACTTTATTGTTGCTATTGTGTCTAAAAAGGTTCAAGAGGAGGGTTTTGTGGGATTCCCCTGCCACTTTAAGCTTCATTCTCTTTTTTTAAAAAATATTTTACTTGTTTTATTTTATGTGTATGAGTGTACTGCTTGCATGTATGAGTGCACCTGTGTCGTACATTGCCATGGAGGTCAGAAGAGGGCCCTGGAACTGGAGTTAAGGACAGTTCGTAGCTGCCATGTGGGTGCTGGGAATTGAACCTGGGTCCTCTCATTCTCTTTTTATGAAACATACATCACAACATAGACAGGCATAAATGATAAAATACGCTTTCTACACATTTATTTCTAAAATATTTGTGAATAAATTTCCTTTAAATGGAGTTTCCTGGTTGTATTCAGAAGTATTAAGGAAAACAGAAAGAAAGAAAAAGAAAAGAAAATAAACAGATTAGTAATGGTATTAAAAAAAAAAAGCCAAGGTATTTATATCCATAAAATAAAAAGAATGAGACATAGATCTGTATCACATATTTCAAAAGATATGGCTAAAAGTTTAAACATAGTATCAACATGAAATAATATACTGTTCATGGCCCAAATGCCTAGGAATCCCTTTTACGTTCAGTTGACAAATCTTACCAATACAAGAAGTGTTTTTTCCAACTTCAGCCCCATCTCTGTTCTGAATGGGAAGAACCCCATCAGGCTGGTGACTTCATGGAGAGTATAAAATTCTGGGTACTTTTTTACTTGTTCAATGCAAGCTCTTAAAATTTGCTAGGAAATAAAAATGAAGAGAAATCCATTTGTATTACACTTCTCTAACAAATGTATTGTGGTTACATGTGACTATACATTTCTTCATTGCAAAAATTACTTCAGTTCCACTAATTCACTCTGCTTCTAAAAATCCACATATACTGTACATTCCTTATTTGATTTAATCTCTCAGTTTTCATAATAAATTTTTAGACTAATTTCCTAAAATACTGATCTTTAATAATTCTAAAATTAGCAATCTTATTAAAATTTAAAATTAAAGAAGACGCAAAGTTTTCTATGTTATTTTAAAAAACTGTAAAAGAATTAACGCTACATAATTTCTGCATACTGCATTGCAGTGAAGGCAGCACACAAAGCAGAGCCTGCCAGAGCAGGCCTGGAATCTCAGCATGTGGCAGGCAGAGGCAGGAGGAGGAGGAGTTCAGGGCCAGCCTGGGCTACAGGAGACTTTGTCTTATCAACAACAACAAAGGTAGAGCTGGGTGTGGTGGTCCAAGCCTTTAATCTCAACACTTGGAGGCAGAGGCACGTGGACCTCTGGGAAGTGGAGGCCAGCCAGCTAGGGCTAGAGTAAGACTCAATTTCAAAATGAAAAAAAGGCAGTGACATATTTAAATGAGTACAAGTGTTCTTTCAAGCTTCTAAAATACTAATGACTTATCAGGAACTGTAATCAGGAAGGAAATATTCACAGCTTTATACAGTAATTTATGTCTCAAGCACAGCCAAGGGCAGAGGAAATCATCATAATTAAAGCACATGCATCCATATCCATTATCTTCTAAGTACCTATTTTTCCTTTTGTCAATGGATGTTATTAGATGTTATCTAAATCTTCCAGAATGTATTTTAGATCACAGAAGCCCTTTTAAGTTTAAATTTATTCTTATTTATTTTTATGTGGACGGGTGTTATGCCTGCATGTATTTAAGTGCACACATGCCATACAGTGCCTGCAGAGGCCAGAAGAAGGTCTTGGATCCCCTGGTACTGGAGTTACAAATGGTTAACTGCCATGTGGGTGCTGGGATTCGAACCCAGGTCCTCTGCAAGAGGAGCCATACTCTTAACCACTGAGTCATCATTTTTCCAGCTTGATGCTCTTAACTTTACATCCTTCTCCTATAACGTATTCATAAAATGCTTCAAATTACAGATCAGTAATTATTTTGGTATGTTTTTGTTATTTATACACAGGGCGGTCAAAGGACAACTTACAAATCAGCTCTCTTTCCACCATGTGGTTCCCTGGGATTGAATTCAGGTTGTCTGGCTTGACGGCAAGTGCCTTTATCCGTTGGTCCATCTCACAGGCCCTCCAGTCTATTTTCCACTTACACTTTCTTCTCCCCTTCTCCCTTTTTCCAATCTCGACTCCCTGCTATTTTTAGCATTTTCTTCCTCAATCACTATTGAAGACATCACTCATAACTAATGTAGATGTGGGCTGATAGGGAAAGTTGTTTTAAAATCCTTAGGGAACTCAAAGCTCACCTGTATGCCTTGCCTCCTTTTTTTACAATACTAGTAAACTTTCACCTTTAACATTCCTCCACTATGGTGGTCACGATAAAAATTTCAACAGCCAGCCAGGCACGGTGTTGCACACCTTTAATCCCAGCACTCGGGAGGCAGAGGCAGGCGGATTTCTGTGAGTTCAAGACTAGCCTGGTCTACATAGTGAGTTCCAGGCCAGCTGGGTCTACTGGGAGACCCTGTCTCAACAAAGACAAAAAAAAAAAGAAAAAGAAAAAGAAAGACTTTCACCAGTCAAAAGAAAATAATATCTAAGAACCAACTGCCATAGATCATTCTGGTTTTTTATCAGCAAATCTTGGTAAAATTGTGCTGCTATGAGGGTGCTTTTAACTGCATTTTACTCAGTTCAGCAGTTGTCCAAGAAAAAGAGTGAAAGGAAAAATCTAAAACACTTTTAAGCCTGTACCTTGATCAATGACACTGCCCAAAGTACAGCAGCACCTTCACCTGTGGCTCCATTTCCCCATAGATTCTGTTAGTGGCTATTAAATAGGAATTGAAAAGACCAAATGGAAAAATCAAGAAATGAGTAATTCCAGAGTTTTAAGTTGTGAATCATTTTCATGGGTGTTAGCATCTGGTGACATGGAGCTCTGTCCTGTGCAGGACAGACAATCCCTTGTCCACCAAATGCCTACTGCACATGCAGCAAGCCATCTCCATCATGGCTTAGCTACCATGGCATGGCAGTGCCCGTGCCTCATATTCTGAGGTGGGTGGGTTCTACTATGCAGTACATAGAAAAAGGCCTCCACACGCCTTGTGTCTCAGGTGACAATCCTGACAGCTCCCCATGCTTTTGCAGTCATCACACATCCTAGAATGCTGCTATTGGCTATTGCTTAGCAGTTCATGTAGATGTGTTTTACCTCTGTGAAGAGACGGGCATCATCAGAAAGCATATGATAATCCTGTGCACACTTCTTTGCAGAATTCTGCAAAAACTTTAGGAATTCAGTCACTTCTTCATTCACATGACTTTTCATATCCTGTTTTGTTTTTGTTAAAAAAGTACGTCTTAGAATAAAAAGTTTCGCTGAAAACAATCACTCCTCAATTACTGCTCTAACAATTTGAACTTCAAAGAATTAAGTATCGAATCCAAAGCAGAAACCACAAAGAACAGTAATCCAATACATAACACCACAAACTTCTTTATTAAAAGCTCTAGGGAGAAGAGTTTACTTGTAGAGTGTGGACCTAGCATGTGTGAAACATCAGGCTCAATCCCAAGTGTGCAGTGTGCACACATGAGCATGCATACACACACACACACACACACACACACACACACACCCTTCAGAAACTACAAAAATCATTATTTTTCTCATATTAGCAGCAAGAAAAAGCAATATCTAGAATTAGTGAAGCTACTTAAAAAAAATTCCTTCATACACTAGTGGTTTTTAATTCGCTCTGTAACTGCTGATTTAGAAGCATGGACAGCCTTTATCTCGCAACTTTATTTAAGGAATTTATCTTAAGGAAACAGTCATAGATATAAATAATCTGCTAAAAAGATATTCAGCACAGTATCATTTGTGTATTAGGAATATGGACACCATTTACAGTGATAAATGATTACAATAGGTTGTGAAAGTTTTGTTAGTACAGAAGGAGTTGCAATGACACAGCTCAGCAGAGCAGATACCTCAACTACATATAACAAGACACAAGAATCTGTCAAGTAAACTTATCTTTCCATTTTTGTAAATATTTCTGTACCTAATAATAAAAGAAATAATGGTAAAAAGAAAACAATGAAAGAAAATGTAAAATAAAAATCTTTCTTGATTCTTGGTATTTTTTGCTAAAGCTAAGTATACATACCAAATACTGCAGGTACTCATTTTTATTTATTCCAACAGGTTTGGAATTTGCAGAACTCTTTGCATATTTAACCATCAAGTCCACATAAGCCCTCTGTTCTCTCTGTGAGAAACGAGAGAAACGGGGATAAGGAACTCTTGGTTTTGGAAGAAGAATCATTCCAACTTTTTCCTTTGCTTGAGTTGCTGAACTAACCGCCGGCTCATTTTCCACACAACTTGCTGAGACATTCAAATTTTCTCCTATACGTCTGGAAAAAAAAAAATACAATTTACAAATATGTGCTTTTCACATGAAGATTACTATCATGGAACTCATGATTCTCAATCAAAAGGGAGAATATGGTATGATTAACAGCAAATTCTGGATTATTATCTAACTCTGCCACCTGCATTTCAATGTTCAGTCATTTAGTTTAGATTAAGTATTCTGCATGAAAAGCTCTCACTGCAAACTTACCTTCAACCACCTGATGGAGAGGGAGAGGTACACTTAAGCTAGTCATTCCTTTTGGAAGGTTTCCCTTTACTAAAAGGGGAAACTAACTCTTGTGAACTGTATTTGCATTTACTTATTGCAATGCTAGTTAGTTTTTAATTTTTCCAGTAAGGTTTATCAGTTAGGGTAAACGAAAATCATTAACAGAATAAAATGGAGTCACAAACTTGAAGTGGGTCAGTTAACTCAGATTCTACATTTTCTGGTTCCACTAGTTATCACAATAATTAAAAATAAAATTCTAACAACTGTGTATCACATATATGGAAGGAGTAGTCATTTTAGAAAGATTGGACAACACTCTATCAGTCCAACACACAGCCGAGTACTTGGAAACATCTCTATGCCTTCTATGGATGCAAAAGAAAAGGCCTGGTGTGTCTGCAGTAAAGAGTATGTCAAGAGAAGGGAGGAATAGCTAGAGAAATTGTCACCACACTTGTGTATGAACTACCACTCCAATTTTAAAAGGGAGGACTGGCAATTACTATCTTGTTTTCTAACTTGTCTTTATCTTTGCTATCTAGTTATGTCAGTCTAAATTTCAATAAAAAAAATTTCCACCAAAAAACTGCATTTTCTTGGGTCTCTACATCTCTGCTTTCTACCAGTCACTGTTTCTTTGACTTGGCTCCAAATTAAACAATGATAATTCATTGAGGAAGGGAACTAATGAGATAGATGTTGATTCATTTGTCATGCTTCCATTCACTGATATTTAATGATATGTATAATTGCCAGTCTGTGGTAGGAACTAGAGAGATAATCAACATGGTACAGTACAATCCTTTCCGGGATCATAAGATCAAGTAGATTTAGATGAGTGAAGGGGAAAAAAAAAATCTCTATATCTCTATCTATCTATCTATCTATCTATCTATCTATCTATCTATCTATCTATCTATCATCTATCATCTATCTGTGCCCTGGATCATTAGCTTTTAACCACATATTATTCAATAATATCTATCTATCTATCATCTATCCATCTATCCATCCATCCATCCATCCATCCATATATAATTTCAATATTAGACTTCCAATCTGAATTAACCCAACAGGTGGCTGAGAAGAATGCAAAGAGATCATGATCAGGGATTCAAAGGAAGAAAGGGAACAATGGTTCTCAATTATAACTGTCAATTTCTTTATGGCATTTTGGAAGAAAGTAGGACCATCTGAGTCATCATAAAAGAGGAAATGGTTGATTGTAATTAAGGCTAGGAATACTGGATGCTTAGACTGTATGATACTTACAAAGTATGAAAGTGTTTAAAGGTCCCTTTTTGCATAAAAATAATTCTTGTCTATTATCTTAACAATATGTTTTATTTTTCTGATTCTTTTACAGTTCATTTTGCTTTTCTTAAATACAACCTTGCTCACTTGGTTTTGTCTAGAGGCATAAATTCAGGGGCTTCTCATGGGCTACATACACGCTATACCATTCAGCTACCCATTCCTGCTCTCCTAACTGCACTCACTGTACCTGGCACGTCTCACATCATTACATCTTCTAGTGCAGGAGTGTCTATGAATGTATATATTACACAATGCATGGTATGTATTATTTTCCTTTTATTTCACATTTATATATTTAGACCATCATGTGTGCCATTTTAAAAAGTTCTATCTATTGTACAATCAGTTATTAATTTCATTTCAGGCTAATAAAGAAAGCATTTTATTTTTACAAATATTTGCTGTAAGCAGTGGAATAAGGGAATTACTAATTTATAATACTATGATAAATATGGCATAAATCCCAAAGTTTGAAAACAGTATTTTAGAAAAGGTTTAGGTCCCCCAAATAAAATATTTAAGACCTTTCTCTTAAGAGTTAATGAACTCTCTTAGAACTATTCAAAAGAGCTGACTAGTTAATGGAAAAAGAATCTGGAAATTAAAATTAGGATGCTAAGATTGACTCCAGAAATAATATAAGCAAAAAACCCACATACTTAGCTACCAAAGTTTCTCCAATAACTATATAAAAATAAGCTCATTTTAGGTTTACAAAATGAATATTAACTGCTGATCTTGGGAGAAATGTATTACAGCAAATTGATTCCTCACTAGGAAATGTCTTGAGAGCTATTCAAACTTAACAGTATTGTGTCTGCAACTCTTAACAATACAGCTTCACAGCTGTCTCTCTGAATGAGAGAATATGTCTGTCCTCCTGGCACAAACTGGCAAATTTAATTAAGCTGCTGCAGCAATGAGATGCTGACTCAGATAGGCCAGAGTAGGAATGTCAAGACATTCTACAGTTTAAATTGGCTACATGCAGCAAAGACTGAAACGCGGCGTATCAAGATCATTTCCCAGTGCAGTGCTGTCAAAATCTTCATCAGGACCAGACTGCAAGCATCCCACGGTGCCTCTCCACAGTTAACAGCACTGTATCTTATTTCAGTTGATAGTCTGAAGTTTCCTCCCTTCATTTTGTCAAATGCTCATTCTCCTTTTTACTAAAGTTTCTATGAAGTAACTGGCAGATTCCAAACTGTTCGTTTGCTATACTGTATGTCTACTAATCTGGCAGTTTCTTTAAAAGAAGCATTTGGAAATTTTATTTCTGGGCTCTATCTCATCTGTCCATATCCTGGAGTTTAAGCTGCTATTTATTAAAGAGACTGACAAGAGCACCTTCTATTTAAAGCTATTTACCTCCTTGTTGATGTAATACTCAAATTACACAGCTCTGTAATCAGAATATTCCATTTTTCTCCTTACAACAAGAACACATGTGTAACAGTAGCCTGTGCTCCTCAGACAGCTGAGACCATTCTTGGAAAAGGAAGAAAGTTCCAGCAGGTAAAGAGGGAGGAGCAGAATTCCAGGAGGGAACAAACAGCACAACTGAGGGATCTGCCATCTCTAGGGTCTTTTCTCTTTAAGCATCCTAAAGAGCCTTCCAGGCAAAACCTTAACTGATGTCAACTACAGTTACTGGTCCAGTGATTTCCTCTGTAATTATTTTTTTCTGATTCCATGATGTGCATTAAACTGAGATATCAAACAATTAGATGAAAAATGGGAAAACAAAACACTATGCTGCTTTAAGAAATGGAGTACAAATAGACCAGATGTGGTGATGCATGCCTTTAGTCCTAGCACTCAGGAGGCAGAGGCAGGCGGATCTCTGTTTGAGGCCAGCCTGGTATACATAGCAAGTTCGAAGCCAGCTGGGGCTATAGGGAGACCCCGTCTCAAAAATACTCAAAAAGAAAAAGGATAAAAGAAAAAGAAATGGAGTACAGACATCAACAATTCCCTTTGAAAGACATCCCCAAAACTAAGGAGGAATGATGCAGGGAAAGGTATATAGGTAAATGGATAAATGAATTTAATAAAATCCAAGAGTTGGGTATAATGGCATTCTCTGCCAAACTTCTAACTTGTGTATGTGTTTTAATTTTTTCACAATAAAATGAAAGTAGTATTGTCCTACGATTTTGAATGAGTTTCTACTTAGCTTGTCTGGACTTAGCCTTATTCAACTACTAAGGACGCGAGGGCTTGAATAATCACCAAGATCCCATCTAGTCTCCCAGATTCTTTTATTTCCTCTTCCTGTGACTCTGGAACCCAAGAGAGACCATCACAGACAGAAGTCATATATACTGCCATGACTTAGCTCTGCTAGCAGTGGCACTTAATTTTTCTCACAGAGGGACTGGAGTGACTTAGCATGGATAGAGTGACATGGCTGACAGTGGCCCTAGAGCAGATGCTGATGATGACTGTATGGCTATTTGCTTCAGCTGTTGTTCTCAGGCCAACATTCGTGTCCTTTAGGAATCACATAGCTCCCTTTTCTTGAACATAGTCTGGCTAAGCAAATCCAGAGTTAGTCAGAGATCAAAAGTTGCCCACAGGTCTGAATAACTGACTTTGTTATAGACACTTTAGGAAGATAAGCCTAATGGTTGGGTACATATTGATCCTGCCTTTTCTCTGCTAAGAGAACACTGTGCTGAGTCATGACTGAATGTAGTTCTAAAGTTATTGTTGGGTATTGTGCATGGTTATCTTGGTATGGTGCTGAGCCATGACTGAGCTATCGGACTTTAGGCTGAGTCATTATTTGTATTTTTGCTGATTTGGTGCTTTTTTGCTAAATAACCGATGTTTTACTGAATTATCATTGAGTATTTTTTAATTGAGTCACCATCTGGCAGTTTCACTCAGTAATTACCACCAACAACCACCACCACCACCACCACCAACATCACCACCACCACCACCACCACCACCACCACCACCACCACCATCATCATCATCATCATCATCATCATCATCATCGGGCATTTTTGCTGAGTCACCTTCTGGAATTTTTGCTGAACTGTATGACAGTTTTTTGAATCATCTCCTGACATTTCTGTGGTGTTATCATAGAGAACTTTTATTAATTCACCATTTGAGTCTCACTGAGCCATCATTTAGTGTTCTGCTCAGTGGCCATGTGAGTTTTTGTTAAGTCTCCATATGGTCTTTTGCTGGGCCACCAGGGGGCATTTTTGTTAACTGTTGACTAGCTTTGCTGGGTCACCATTGAACATATAAATATATATTTTTTTAATTTTTATTTTATGGGGTGTTGGATCCTCCAGCACTAGAGTTACAGACAGTTGTTAACTGCCATATGGGTGCTAGGAACTGAACCCAGGTTCCAGAGTCCTCTACAGAGCAGCCAGTGCTCTTAACCATGAGCCATCTCTCCAGCCCACCACTGGACAACTTTTGCTGAGTTGTACTGGAGGTTTTGTAGTCAACACTGAGTGTCTCACTGAGTCATCACTGGTTATAGTGGCACATCCTTTCTGGGTACTGTTCTGGGCTAGCACTTCCCTGGCCTTGGCTGCTTCAGCCTGTAATGCCAAGAAGCTGAGGATCCCTGGGACATGGCCAGACAAACCTGGTCTGTTTCTCCTGGGACCTAAGAACACTTTTAATAAAATATAAAAGATGCAAAGTTGTTTAATTCTCAGGACTCTCGAATTTTATAAGCATTCTTTGGTTCAAATAACCAATGGTAATTTTTAAGAACTGGTAAGTTTTCTGAACTTAGTTATCTCCAGGAAATGCTCCAAGTTAAACAACAGAAATAATTTTTATAAAATCTATAGATGCATATGAGTTTTATTGTCTTAACTTTTAAAAACTGACATTACTAAAGATATTTAAAAGTGCTTATTTTATGCTGGGGGTGGTGGCAGACACCTTTAATCCCAGCACTCAGGAGGCAGAGGCAGGCAGATCTCTGTGAGTTCAAGGCCAGCCTGGTCTACATAGTGAGTTCCAGGACAGCTGGGGCTACAGGGAGACCCTGTCTCAAAAAGACCGGGGGGGAAAAAAAAAGTGCTTATTTTACCGTGTTAAATAGCAATCTGGAAATATCTATCAAAATAAATGTACATATACTTGGAAGAATTTATACATTCAGGTGTACGCATAAAAAGACACTTGTAGGGCTAGAGAGATGGCTCAGTGGTTAAGAGCAGTAGCTACTCTTCAGAGGACCTGGGTTCAATTCCCAGAGCCCACATGGTGACTAACAACAATCCATACATTCAATTCCAGGGAATCTGATGTCCTCTTCTGACCTCCATGTGCACTGCACAACATGGGTGCACTTACACACATGCAGGCAACACACTCAAACACATAAAATAAAAATAAATATTTTTTAAAAAGGTACTTGCTATAATAATGAAGGTATGAAAATGAGCTGATAACAGCAGTCAATTAAAAATTACATACTTCCAACAACAGAATATTATGTAGTTATGAAAGAGAATGAAATCAAACTATTTATGTACTTCTGTGGGAAGATACTCAGAATATGCTGGGAGGGGGGGAACATAATACACAGGACTATAATTCCTGTTATATAAAAAGGAAGATGTGTGTATTATAACACACACTAATAAAAGTTAGTTCCACAGAGGATCCTTGATCCTTAGTGGTTCAGATTTAAAAGCCTGGGTTGAGAGTACAAAATCAGCCACCATAAGAAGCCTGCAGATGAAGATGGCAGAAGATTCTGAGAAATACTATAGTAACCAGAGTACTAGGAAGAAAACTAGGTGAAACAGCTCAACACTGAAGAGCTTGCTGAAGAGCCAGAGAACAGCTTTAGTAGAGCACCAAGAGGATGGGGCATAGAGTGGCTGGAAGCACAGGTTTCCTGTTTTTTAATTCATCTGCCAATTTGCCTTTTCACTAGGAAGTCTATTCCATCTATACTTAAAATAATTACTGCTAAGAAAGAACCAGTGCTACTCTATTAATGTTCCTTATGTCCTTATAGCTTTATCATTCCTCGCCTTCTGTCAGCACACACACACCAAAAAAGTAGTGAAAGTCCAACTGAAAGAGGGCACAGAAAGGAACTTGGCAAGAATTATTTAAAACAAATTTTGAGTATATTAAAATATTGATCAAAATAATTGAAAACAAGAGAGAACAAAGATACAGGAAAATCTGGGATAACTGAGAAAATCCTGAGAAAGCAGGAAAGATGGGGCAGACAGAGCTTCTGCACTGTAACTTTCTTGGGACTTTCTAATTCCATATCTGCTGGTTTCCACATTAATCCACAACAGAAGAGAAATAGTCAATCAAAAATGAAAAAGGAACTGTACAGGCTTGTGAGCAGTAAGAGCTGAACTATTACTGCTGAGCAGTCACTTTCATAGCAGAGGAAAATACCTTTGGAAACTTGGTAGCATCTATTAAAATATAAAACATATACACAGTTTGATTAAAATTATATGACCTTACAGAAATAATTGGAAAAAAAATTTAAATTCCAATATAGGACTAACTAAATGAATTAAAAGTACATATTTAACAAAGTAATATGCAATGATTAATTAGGATTTAGGAAAGAAGAACTTACATATGCAGGAAATAAAATCCAAAACACAGATTCTAATGAAAAAATTATTAAACTATAGGACTAAGTTTTATGGTGTTCTGAGGTAATTACATTTAAGGTCTCATAGATACCCACCCATGTGCAGAGAAGGTAAACACCAAATTGTGAGCAGCAGTTTTCTTCTATTTGTCTACATCTCTATAATTTGAATATTGAATAACCATAAAATTTCAACTACCAGAAAAACAACAGCCAAATATGAAAATAAACATATTACCTGTTAGATAAAATACATAGTTCTTTTAAAGTTGGAGCCATGGAATGCTCTTTATAATTTTCTGGAGAAAAAAATGCTTTAAGGCCATTTTTTGGTGTAATATCCCTGTGAAACAAAGTAATTTACTTGCATGTGACAATTGAAAATCTTATGTTAGACAAAGATGCAACTATAATTTATGACCTCTACCTTCCCTTTCTCAATCGCCTCCAAAGAAGTTTGATTTCACATCCCATATTTTGTGTGTTTAGGTATTTCATTTCCTTAGCTTTAAGCTCAGGAAAAATATGAAATTCTCAATCTCTTATCAATCTTTTCCTGTAGTATAAAAATCAAAAAAACTTCAGAAAGACTTGAAATAATTAAAAAAGGGACAAGTAGAATCAAGGGTCTATCAGGACAGGGCTCACTTCTGGCCATGAAGCGTAATATTTGATTGCTGAAAAGAAAATGCTATTCAACTTACTTTTGCTTCATGTACTATTGAATACCCTACCTCTCTTTTGTTAACTTGGCATGACTTTGTTAAATGGGATAAACAGTGTTTGTGTTCATTAAAATCACCTCTAAAGTGATGGTTTGGGTTTTTTTGTTGGTCTTCCTGTAGCCCCATCTGGCCTAGGACTTGCTACGTATGCCAGGCTGGCCTCTATCTCAGAGACCAGCCTGCCTCTGCCTCAAGTACTGTGATTAAAGTGTTGACAATGATAAATGATTTTTATAACATCAAAACTGAGATTAATATATCCAATGTTGACTGAGTGAACAAATTAAACATGGAAACATTAACCAACAATATAGGGAGGATACTGACTAGTAGAATTCTGTGGGAAAGAGTTCCAAGGACTAAAATAGTGTGCAAAGGTTCTAATCACATTTGGTTTCATAATGCCAGCATATGTAAGAGTATCTGCACTTCATCTGAACATGTATGTTACAGAACTAGGAAGAACATATGTACATGCTCTTAAAACATTCAATACAATAATCAAAAGCAACTTTTGGCTATCCCATTACCCAACAGAATATTTTGACATACTTCCTCTGCAGCATCTCTTACTGTTTTCTGTTGTTTGTTCTGAAATGGGGTCTCCCTGTAGCCTCAGCTGGCCTGGAACTCCCTATGTACTCCAGGCTGGCTTCAATCTCACTGAGATCCACCAGCTTCTGCCTCTCAGCTTGATCTCCTATTGTTTTTAATGGCACTTACTAAACAAAATAAACTACAATTAAGGTAGTAAAGGAAAAAAACCAGAATCGTTTATTTGCTATGGACAAGTGTAATGCTTATTACTTTGTCATGCACCTTTAGTTTTGGCCTAACATTCAAGACAAAATAAAAGGCCTTAGGGACAATGAGTTCTTTGGGAAGTATAGTTTGCAATAAACAAGTATAAATGAACACAGTGATTTAATATTCTTTAAGCTAGTTTTTTTTCCTTTTTCAACCGGTAACCCTTTTGTTATTTTTTTGATCCTCCTTGGCTGGCTGAATGTGTGGTAAAATATTTTTAAAACAATATATATTTGATTCCGCATAGTTACTGTATTACTTAACTGGGTTCGTGCTCTCACACATCTGAAATACAGAACACTGTCTATTTATCATTTCATATAGAGTCTAATGTAACAAAAAGAAGTGAGATCATTTTGTTCTGTTTTAAAGACAAGGTCCTACTATGGAGCCCATGCTCGTCTCAAACTTTCAATCCTCCTGCCTCTCTTCCCCAATACTGGATTCCAGTCACCATAATCAACTTATGTGTCTATTACTAAAGAAGATCTTTATATTATTTGTACGGAAATGGGTAAGAATTTTGGCTTAATTCTGTTAAACAGGATAAATAATATGCTTCTGGTAAAATCACCTCTAAAGTGATACACAAGATTTTTTTTTTTAAGTAATAATTGACACCAATGTTAAAGTGTTGAGTGAAAGAATTAAAAAATAAAAATGTTGAGGGCTGGAGAGATGGCTCAGTGGTTAAGAGCACTGACTGCTCTTGCAGAGGACCTGGGTTTGATCCCCAGCACCCACATGGCAGTTACAAACCGTCCTTAACTCCAGTTCCAGGGAAATCCAAAGCCCTCTTCTGACCTCAGCAGCACTGCACAACGCAGGTGCACTCACATACAAGCAGGCAATACACTCATACACATAAAATAAAAATACTAAATAAAATATTTAAAAATAAAAATGTTGAGATTTCAGTATCTCTCCTTCACAGGAGAACAATAGTAAACATAAGAGAGAATTAGAACTAAGAATCTGAGTGCCGAGTTGATATTTTTTAGGATTCCATCAGCTATTACTTAAAAGGGTTTGGTATGTGAATAGAGAACAGGGTAAATTCCGAGCCCTTGAACTTTAAAAAAATTCTTTGTGTGTATGAGTGCATTGCCTGCATGTTGGTAAGTGCACCCCTGTGGTGCAACACCCCAGAGGTACAGAAGAGGGCATCGGTATCCTGGAGCTGGAGTTACCTACAGTTGTTAGCTGCCATATGGGTGCCAGGAACTTAACCGAGGTCCTCTGCAGGAGCAGCCAGTGGTCTTAAGTGCTGAGCCATCTCTCCAGCCCCAAGACACCTTTTGAACTTACCTGTTTCGATTTTCCAAACCTCTTCTTCAGGCCAGAAACTCCCCTTTCTCACGCCACCCACCAGCCCTGCTCCAGGCCTCCGCAAGGACCGGAAGGGCCAGAGCTTACCAGTTCAGGCTGGGTTCACTCAGGGTCCCGTAGCTCATCTTCCTAGCTCTCTGCTGCTCTCTAGCCTACACACTTTTCAGTCTGAAAGGGAAGACTGCAAGAGAAGGGAGGGTCGTTCCTAGACGACATTAACTGGAGAAAAACAAAAGGTTTTGGCTAGATCAGGCAAGTGCTGTTAACTTGATGACAAACAGCCTTTGTTAAACTAAAACAACATACTCGGGCAGAGGGTCCCCGAGGTTCTTGGGAAGAGGGCGGCCATGATGGCACAGGGTAAGTCCCTTTCCTTGGGCTCACGCAAGGACTGTTGTTTCCACACTAGCTGAGCTGGAGAACTTCGCATCCGATGCGACTCGGTGCCGGCGACTTCCAGGGCACGAGCGGGTGCCCTGGGGCCCCGGGCCCGCCCCTCCACACTGGTGTTCCTCCTGCCCCCGCGGGCCTCACGGTGTGCTGTGCACCACACGCGGCAGAGGGCTCGGCCTCCGCCCTGCGGGACTTCCTCCCCAATCCACCCCACGCTTCCACTCAGCAGCTGAGCGACGAGGGAAGGGACAACCGAGGTCGAAGTACGGTACGGGGCAAACCAGGGAGGCCCGGGAAATCCTGGGGAGGGGCCCGGGAAGGATAACGGGGCCTCGGGGACCGACGCCTGGGGAGGCCGCGGGACAGTGTCGACCTCGCACCGCCCTTCCGCCCACCTCAAGGTCCCCGGCGGCTCCGGACCGAGGCAGCTTCCGAGGCACGCTTCAGCGCGGCGCCCTCTCGCGCGCCACCGGGAAGGCCTCGTTTAAAGGCCCAGGCCGCGCCTCTCGGCCCAGCGTGATGACATCACGGAAGCGCCGTGGGCGGCGCTGCAGTCGGTAGAGGGCAGGCAACAGGTAAAGGGTGGAAGCGACCGTGGTCTGGGCTACGGCCCCCAAGGGCGGCTCACCTGGTGTGTCTGTCACGCACTAGGTCCTCAGCACCGTCGTTCTCCACCGTCCCGTATAGGATGTCAGTCTCTGCTAGTGGTCACTTGTGCTCACACCAGTTCTGCCGTAATTAAGATTTACTGAGCTCAAATAGTTTGTGTTTAGCATTGACCACACATAGGGCCAATACTGAATACTATTTTTACTTTTGTTTTTCCAGAAGTTTTGGTCTTAGAGACTCCAAGGGATTTTTCGTAAAGGAAGCAAACAACAACAAAAAAGAAATGATGAGCTACTGAGAAAGGTGTTCTTGGGGCTGGAGGCATGGTTCAGTGGTAAAGAGCACGTGCCTCTGTTCCAAAGGACCCAAGTTTAGTTCCCAGCACCCACATCAGTTGTCTGACAAGCCCCTGTAACTCTAGCTCCAGGGTATCCAACACCCTCTTCTGGCCTCTGCAGGTATTTGCACACATGTGCATACACACAGAAAGACAAAAATTAAGTATTTTTTAAAGGTGTTATGGGGACTGAAGAGATGGTAGGGCAGTTAAGAGCGCTGGCTACCCTTGCAGAGGACTAAGATTTGGTTCCCAGCACCCACATGGTGGCTAACCACCATCTGAAATGGTTACTGGGGTAACCATTGCCCTCTTCTGGCACCCACGGGCATTGCACACAAGTGGTGCACTTACATGCAGACAGAACACACAAACACAAAATAGTAAATAAATTTTAAACATTTTTAAGGTGCTATGACTTGGATTATAAAGATGCTTGAGGCCTGTTATGCTAAAGGCTTTAATCACCAAGCCTGTGAGGTTATTGGAAGGTGGTAAACTCTTTAAGAGAAAGAGTCTATTTGAAATTAGGTCTTTGGAAGCATGTCCTTGAAGGAGATATTGGGGTCCTGGCTTCTCCCTCTCTGTCTGTTTCTTGGTTACCATGATGTGAGTAATTATCCAATATCATATGCTTTATGCCACAGAGTTCTTCACCATAGACCCAGAAACGAAAAATCCAAATGACCATGGACTGAAAGTATGAACTAAGCATAAGCCTTCCATCTATTAAATTATTTAAGGTATGCAAAATAGTGACAGGAATCTAAAGCAAGAGGTGTAAAAGACATTTTTTGAGTTCGAAGGAGAGAAGTTGCTAGTGTAAAAGCATCTCTGGATAAACTAAAGAGTTCGTTTGCTGCCAACCAGAGGCTGGGTCTAATTAAGGAAACTAAGTAGCCAAGAGATAAGGTTGTGGTAGAAAATGAACTTTATTAAGTGAGGAGCTAGCTGATCAAAATATGATTCCCATTCTAAAGTCCATCTCACTGGAAGCTGACTAGGGAGGAGTTTACAGACGAGATGGATGGCTGCAGACTGAAGGTCACTTTCTCATAGTTGAAGCCAGATGTGTTAGTTGGGGTTTTGTTGTTGTGACAAAATATCAGGCATAAACAATTTACTGGGAGGAAGATTTACACTACCTCACAGTTTCAGAGGTTTCAGTTCATGGTGGTTGGTTTGATTCTGGCCCGTGTTGAGGCAGAACATCATGGCAGCATGTGACAGGCTATTCACCTTATGATGGGCAGGAAATGGAGAGAGACAGAAAGTAGTCAGGGAAAGTCACCCTCCAAGGACTGCTCCTTAATGACCTTCTTCCTTCAACTAGGTCTTACCTGCTAAAGTTTTGAGAACCTCCCAAAATAATGCTGTAGCTGATGTCCAAGTTCCCAACATTGGCAGAGGATGGGGAGCTTCATATCTAAACTGTAGCACCAAATGTCACAAACCAATTTTGTTATTTTTAAAATATTTATTATTTTTATTTTATGTGTATGAGTGTATTGCCTGTATGCATGTGAGTGCACCCATGTCGTGCAATGTCCACAGAGGTCAGAAAAGGGTGTCGGATCCCCTGGAACTGGGGTTATGGACGGTTGTTAACCTCCATGTGGATGCTAGGATTTGAACCTAGGTCTTCTGCAAGAATAATCAATGCTCTTAACCACAGAGCCATCTCTCCAGCCCTGACACATCCAGTTTTAATTGTTCACCTAGTCATAAGATGTTTTTGAATTCTACAAACCTGAAGAACAAAGATCATTATTTATTTGGATTATTCTTGTCACTGATTAGTTTGCCTTTGTGTAAGTTCTGACATAATACATAATGGACAGGGTAGAAAGAATAGCTGCTCTGGCAGAGGGAGAGAAACAGGCAGGGTAAGGATGAGAGATCTAGTCTTAATGTTTAACTTCATTTTCGCTATTCATTTGTTAGTGACCGCATTGGGCACTTGCACTGAGCTTATTTGAAGAATGTGGATGTGTGGAATGATGGGAAAGGGCATTATAGACTAAGACCAGCACAAGGAACTACATAAACCTATTGCATGAACAGAGAAGTTTGTGTTTTGTAAAGAAAGTACATTTTATATTTTAGAATGATTAATGATATCATTAAAAATGGCAACACTAAAATATGCCAGAGGGACTCTTAGGTATTTTACTATTTTATTTCTTTTCGTGTGGAGTGCAAGGTCTCTGCAGGGTAGTAGAGGAAAGGGGATTGAAACTTGATTGGCATCAAAATGCACTATAACTTTGTAGCTCAGCCTAAGAAAGTTTGACTTTATATATATAAAAAAGACAGTAAACAGGGAAAGAAGCTTGCAAGCAGAGAGATGACACAATTACAGCTTCAAGAATATGTGTCAGGAAAGTTTATCTGGCAACATATTTAATACATTGGAAGACAGAAGCCAATTAGGAACCTTGCAAAGAAAGTAGTATAAAGCCTGACACTGCACTGTATTTCTGTTAAATAAGTGATGTTGGTGGCCTGTGCTGAGACCAAGGCAGTGTGAAGGTAAATGTACAGTAGTCTAGAGTTTTGCTATTTTTTTTGTTTGTGTGTGTATAGCTTTTGTGTGGATGTACACATATGCTTATGTGGAGACCAGAGGTTGATATCAGGTGTCTTCCTCAGTTGCTTTCCATCTTTTTTTTTTTAATTTTAAGTTTTATGTGTATGTGTATGCCTACATGTGTATAAGTGCACCTGTGTCATGCAATGCCCGTGGAGGACAGAAGAGAATATTGGATTCCCTGGAACTGGAGCTATGGATGGTTGTTAGCCGCCATGTGAGTGCTGGGATTCGAACCTGAGTCTTCTGTAATAACAGCCAGTGCACTTAACCACTGAGTCATCTTTCTAGTTCCCTCCATCTCACTGTTGAGGGAGAGTCTCTTACTGAATCTGGAACTCACCAATTCAGCTTTACTGGCTGGCCAGTGAGCTCCTGTCTCTGCCCCACCCCAGCACTTGAGTTACAGATTTACATAGCATTATTTGATTTTGAGTACTGGGGATTTGAACTCAGGTCCCCATGCTTATGCAGTAAGCACTTTACCAACTGAGCTACAGCCCCTAGTTTTGCTTTTGATGAATTCAGATACAGTCATTGCTTTCAAAAAATATTATATAGAATATTCTAGAAGTAATAAGTTTTAGATGACTTTTATTATAGTACATGATTATATTTTATTTTAGTAATTGTTGTTCCTCTCTTGCTGTGCCTAATTTTTAAGTTAAACTTTATCGTAGGCAGGTATTATTGGGGAAAAATAATCCCAAAGTAATATAAGGCTTGTTACCTTTCCATAGTTTCTGATGTTGAGAAGCGTGTTGATCATATCCCTGCAGATAAGGGAGGACTATTCTATCTTACAAAGCATGTAGTCAGAGAGAGTCAGGGAGTCCTCTTCTAGCCCACAGCACCTGCTGTCACTGTCCAAGAAGAACTCATGTACTAGCTTGTACAGCCTGTATCACCAGCCATACGTGAAATGTTTGGGTCTAAAATATCCCCAAGAAGCCATGTACTAAAAAAAGTTTGGTTGCCAATGGATGGGCTTGTGGGGAGTGGATCATGAGGCACAGTTCTCATCAGTGGATCAATCCATTGGGTTCAGAAATGGTTGAGGTAAGGCCTGAGTAGAGAAAGCAGCTCACTGGGGCGAGCCCTGAACAGTATGACCGGTCCTATTCCCAGCTTTTGCTCTTTGCTTTCTGGTTGCCATGAGAGGAGCTGCTTTGCTCAGCCGCACTCTCTACACCATGGTGTTCTGCCTTACTGCAGGCCTAAGAGCAATGAAGCAAGCTGATCATGGACTTTGGACCTTTAAAATTATGAGACAAAACAAGCGTTTCCTCCTTTTAAATTGTTTATGTCTGGTCTCTTGTCACAGCACCAGAAAGCTGATTAACACATACTCTGTTGTTTAGAATCCCAATTATCATTAACAGCTTTCTCTAGATTAGAATTATTAACATCCCCAGGTGGAGGTGGGGGCAGACTCACAAGGCCCCACCCTTCCCAATATTATATAAGTAATCCATTGCTGGAGGAGGAGACTTTGTGGAGTAGCTGTTTGTTAAGTGACATGGTTGGTGTCCTAATGGGGCAGCTGCCTTTGAATGGCTCACACTCCTATAAGTTGCACTAGTAAAGTCACTGATTCACCAAGATGTTCTTGGATGGCATCCTTTCTTTGGATTTTCTTTGTTTCTCTATCCAAGATTGTTAAAATAGAGTCTCCAGGAAAAGACCCACAATAAGCACTCTGGGGGTTTGTGCCAGAGTCATGCTACTGAGTCAAGTTGGAACTATCCCATTGTCTTGACCCATTCAAACTTGGAGGGCCATTTAAAGATGGCTTCCACTTTGGGGTGGTTATGAATAATGTTGCTATGAACATGGACACACTATCCTGAAGACTGTGTGTTTTTATTTCTCTTGTAGATCTCTAGTAGTGGAATTGCCTATTGGTATAGTAAATTTTGTTTCACTTTTAAAGGAATTGCTGTAGTGTTTTCCTAATTGATTATTCCATTGTTTTCTGTGAACTTTTAAACAGAAAAGCTGGGGCTGGAGCAATGGCTCAGCTGTTAAGAACACTGTTCTTTCAGAAGACCCAGGTTCAATTCCCAGCACCCACATGGCAGCTAACAACTGTCTGTAACTCCAGTTCCAGAGGATCTGATGCCCTCTTCTGTCCTTCTGGGGCATTGCACAACACGGGTGCACTTACCTACATGCAGGCATAACACTCACACACATTAAAAAAAAAAAAGCCCCCCAAAAAACCAGAAAAAAAGCTTTGGTTTCCCATTTCTGCTAAACTGTGAAACAAATTCATAAGTTGAATAAACCTGCTTCACTTTAGAATAATGTATAAGTCAGTACTTGTTTTGAATTTGTGAAATGTTTCATTAAGCCAGAATTTCAAAAGGAACTCAAAACTGCAAGCACTGGCTGCCTGAAATGACCACAATTGTTATCAGGCATATACTTTTTCTTGAGGACCAAAACAAGACAGAAATGTGCAAGGTCATTTTTCCTTTGTATCAATCAGTTCCAAACCATTTTACTACCCCTCAGCTAATGAGCTTCTTTTGCTGATGTGGAGTGAAGTTGGCCTTGGGAGTTTATGGTTTGGGAACTACCTTGCTCAATGAACTCCCTCAAGAATCCCCAGTCTTTCATAAGGTACTCTCAAAATGAAATAATCCTGGAACAAAGAGGTTTGGAAACACAAGGAAATGTTGCTAATAGCAATTTGCTTAAATCTGACTTTTAGTAATAAAAGGTATTTTAAGTGAGGAAGGGAGTCACTATCATGAAATCTAACATAATACTCTCTTAGGGTATGCTGTGTCAGAAAACAATGGCCAAAGTATTTAGATTTTCCTACTTAGAAGATAGTATTTCCTAAAGCATGTTTTACTGTTTCCTGAATTTCATGGTCTTCCGGCTGAACAAAAAAGACCCAGAAATAACTGCATGGCTGGTCTTTCCTGGACACACTTAAGTATCCCAGAGAGAGGCTGATGATAACAATAGAGTAATTTAAGCATTGTTTACATTTGTCTTTAGAATGCAGTGTGTGTTTTACTGGGGGGAGGGAAAAAGGTAGAAGTTGCAGGGACTGTTAGTTCACGATCATAATTAAATTGGAGTGAGGCTAATAGTAAAATTCATTTTGTTTTCCAGGTACAGAACAATTGATCGATGAAGCAACTTCTCTGCAGAGACTCATCCTGGAGTTAGAGATATGGTCCCAGAAATCCGTCATGTGGACAGCAGAAATGCTTCCCAAGAGGTGACTCCGTTTTACTGGAATCAGTTATTTTGCCTCCTAAGGAGAAAAAAAAAAAAGTAGAATCAAATTAAATGCAAAAACACTAGTTGAACTCTAACATCAGAAGTCAATGACAATAGAACAAAGCGAGGGTTTTCTTCATCCCTCAGCTGGTGACACAGGGAAGGACTGCATTCTTGTCAAGCTCTTAGTGTGAGGCCTAGGCACCAGGGAGGCCTAGGTTTGCTTTTAACATTGGGGGTGAGCTGGAATGGCAGAGGGAGTCTTGTGTGTGATTTTTCAGGAGCTGAGGAGCATTCTTTTGAAAAAACTCCCTCCTCTTCAACTGTACTGGCATAAAATCATTGTCCATGTTTGTGGAGCACTGTGTGACATTATGATCAAGTCAACTTAATAAGCATTTCTGGCATTTTAAACTTCGATCATTTGAGTTGAGGATATTTAAAATTCTCTCTTCCGGGGCTGGAGAGATGGCTTAGTGGTTAAGAACACTGGCTGTTCTTGCGGAAGACCCAGATTCAAACCCCAGCACCCACATGGCAGATAACAATTGTCCATAACTCCAGTTCCGGTGGATCCGATAGCCTCTTCTTTCCTCTGTGGGCATTGAATGACACACGTGCACTTACCTCCATGCAGGCAATATATGCATACATATTAAGTAAAAATAATGAATACAATTTTTAAAAATTTCAAAATTCTCTCTTCCACTTCTTTTGAAATGATAGTAAATTGTTAATTGCCCTACTGTGTGACAGAACATAAGCACTTTAGAACTTAGGTTCCTATCTACTTGCCTTCTGGTACCCATTATTCATCCTTTCTACTCTTTTCTGTCCTTTCTCTGATGACTTACCTGACATTAATAGCCTCTTTTGGACTGTGGACTACTGGAGCATATTTTCAGTTTCTTGTTCAAAAAGAGGAGCCAAGGTGCTGAGCTGCACCCCAGCACAGTAGGGCCCCTCCCTGGCACCGTGCGCTCAGCCTGATGTTTTCACAGGCGTAGTAGGAAAAACTGATGCCTCAGTTTTGCTCATCCCATCCATATGTGCATTAGATGTCCACACTGTGAGGCTAGCCTGCTTCATTTACTTCAAGGAAAAGTTTAGTAATGCCAGCAGCACGAAAGCATTCTTGAGAGCAGCTGATGGGCTAGTCTGTGATTGCTACTTTGCCTTCTTTCGTAGAGTTTATTAATGGCAGAAGTGACTGTAATTACTGTTTTTAGCAGTTTAGGTATGGATTTGGACAAGGCCTAGAGGTGATAGATTTCAGATTTTGAACTGTATTATTTTCATTCTCTCTCAATTTCCTCAGACACTAGAAGTGGTGAATAATTGCAATTGTACTGGACAGTGTTGTACAAAGATTTTATGGGAGGGTTGTTTTCTTAGGTAGTTGGGAATAAAAGGATTGGGGAGTGTTTGCTTACAGGCAGTACATTTTGGAATTGGTCCCAATATTTGCTGAATATCTCCTGCTCATAAAGGATGCTTCAGTGAGTACATGGAGCAAAACACCAACACAGTTGCCTTTACCCTGATTTCAGAAGATTTAAAATTCCAGTTGGATGTGCTCGTGCATATGTGTAATCCCAGCAATGAAGAGTCTGAGGCAGAAGGATTGCAATGAGTGCACAGCTAACCTGGGGCCTATAATGGGCCAACCCCCCCCCAAAAAAAACAAAAACAAAACAAAAAAACCCCAAAACAAAATAAAGACAGAAGAAAAGGGCTCTCAGATAATTCAGTCAGTAAAGCGCTTGCCACATAAGTATGAGGACCTGGGTTCCATCCCGAGCACTCACATAAAAAGCCAGATGGTGTGGTGCACACTGGCGATCCCATTGCTGAGGAGGTAGAGACAGGGAACCCTGCAGCTCTCTGGCCAGTCAGCCCAGTCTACTTCAAGGGTCCCAGATACTACTGAGAGAGCTTAGCTTAAAAAAAAAAAACAAAAAAAACAAAAAACAGAACAAAAGGTAAACTGCTCCTGAGGAACAGCACTAGGGGTTGATCTCTGGCCTCCAAATGTACATACAACCCATGAACAAGCAAACACACATACACACACATTCACACTCCCTAAGAGCCCCTCCCCCGACTTACTTTTATTCTATATGTGTGAATGTTGTGGCTGCATATGTACAAGTACCTGCACCATGTACATGTAGTGCCCATAGAGGCCAGAAGAGGGTATTGGAACCCCTGGAATTGCGGTTACAGGCAGTTGTGAGCTGCCATGTGGGTGGTGGGAAGTAAACCCTGGCTCCTTCCAAGAGCAGTCAGTGCTGTTGAGCCATCTCTCCAACCCTCCCCTGAAAGTTCTTGATATTATTTTAAGAATAAGTCACAATAACGCTGTTGCACTGTTAAAATGATGTGATGCCTAGCAGATTTTAACCCATGGTTTACCCCTAAGTAATCTGCTGGAGAGAGGGTCGGTGGGTAGGGCAGCAGCAGTGCAGTTCAAGTGAGATTTGAACGTTTGACATCACTTCAGCCATTCTATCACAATGGCTTCTAAAGCAGATGACAGCATGGAGTGCATTTGGGGTTTCTCCTCACACTCAGGGACACTGTCACTAGTCACTGGGGGATTCTTCTTTGAGACAAGAAGCCTCAAAGGCTATTTTCTTCCTTTCCAACAGCAACTGCTAGTCACTGGCTGTTACCTGAGTTAATATTTCAATGCTCTCTGTGATCAAAAGGGCAGCTCCCACCCTTGTGTCTTTTTTTCTCCTTGTAAGATGGAAGTGAATTATTATTTTGTAAAGTGACCGTATGACCAGTACTTCTCAAACTCACATGCATTCTGACCATCTGGAGCTTGTGAAAGTACAGATTCTGGTTTACTAGGTCTGGGGTGGGACTTGGCTTGCTTTCTTTATAGATTTTTGAGTGCTTACTTGAACATTTGTATCTGTACTACATGCATGCCCTGTACCCACAGAGACCAAAAGAAGGCATCCAGTACCTTGGAACTGGAGTTACATGTGGTTGTGAGCTGTCACATGGGTGCTGGGAATGGAATGCAAGTCCTCTGCAGCAGCAAGTGCTCTGAACTGCTGAGTCATCTCTCAACGGTGCAGGTGGTGCCACACTGTGAGTGGACCACAATGAGTACTATCAAGGTTCACGAGACCATTCATGAGGCAAGGTAAATTCAAAGTGTGTACCATGTTACTCAATACATAAAGAAAAAGGAAAATCAAGGCAAGTGTTCCATTAGAAGCTGAAGTTTTATTATAGTATAATAGTACATAAAGCACATCTAAAATTGATGTGTTCAATGCACTTTTAATAAAGGTAATGTAATATTAAAGGTATAGTTTCTAAGTACAATATAACAACATTCATATTAGAATGAAAATCGGAGTATTTAAAAGACAACATTAAATCTCTCTTTTTTTACAGCTTGTATTTACAAAATGAATCAAAATATTTTTTTTTAAATTCAGGACTCAATAAAATAAACAGCTGGAAATAAGCAGACTAGTGTAGAGAGTGAATTGAAAAGAAAACCCAATGTAAGTGAAAAGCGGGATGACCCTCTAGTAAAGATCATTAGCAAAGTTTTAGTTCCATACTATTGTTTTTAGGATTTCCATAAATGGCTTGCATTTTTTAGTGTGACAGAAAAAGACGTTTTACATCCTGTACACAACAGACAGCATCTTATTTATACGTACAGTGTTACCGCTTCCAAACTTGCATGTGTATTTACAGAAGGCTGAATTTGTTACTCACAGAGTTGTATGAAATTTGTGTGCTTAATCCTTGAGACCTACACACAATTAGAATCAGCATTTCATGTTGTCTTTTTCAATGTGACTCTTACACTTGGTTATAGAAGACAGGGTTAACCAAAAGACTTTGCATACTTTATAGATCTGCCAAAACAGGCTGGGGGTGGGGAGTTTTAACTGGGGGCACACCTATTGTCATTTTAGACAGTTATCAAGTGCTGACATGTGCTGGCCATGTGCAGGCACAAAGAGGGAAGCTTGGGATACTCAGTGGTGAAAAACGAGTTTCAATCTCCCTTCAAGCTAGACAGTTAAGGAACAGTATGATTGTATTAAAAGAGATTTCTTCCTAAACTGTAGCCAGTTTAGAAGTTCTGTAGTGACTGTAGTCACTTTAGAAGGTTAGCTATTAGCATTAGCTTTCGTTAACCATACAATTATTTATAATCAAGGTAACGGCAGTAAAAATGGAAAATGTCTAGAACAGTGGGTAAGTATGTATTGCATGGGGACCACTAATTGTGGCTTGAGAATTTATCACCTTCAGTTACAAAAAGTGCAATAAACAGAAACATTTGCTCTATATTTATAAATTGCTCAAAAATCTTTGCTAAAGATCTTACAAATTCAGTAATATTACAGAACAATTCTAATCAATATTTAAGAAGGCTAACTACATCCTTAGTTAGATATTTGATATACATTTTTAACAATGCCAATAAGTCTTGGGGAAATGGGTGAAACAATTAAGTTCATTATTACTTAAGTTTTAAAATGAAGGTCCTTCTTTCAGTTCATGGAACTGGTTGAGGTCATATTAAAACAGAACTTTCCTTGTTGATTTGCAGTGTAGCCCAGCTCTGTACTTCTCAGGACTCAGATGAGGGGAATAGTCTAGTGTGCCATCAATCTTCCATGAATATTCTATATATTATCTATACTAGGACTTAAATGTACAATTGAGTCAGGTGCCAATAATATAATTCCTCAGCAAGAAAAAAAGTAGTATTACTCCCTTAAATGAGAATATTTCTTTGGGATCCTGAAGGCCTGCCAACTCATTTACTTCTCAGGACTCAGATGAGGGGAATAGTCTAGTGTGCCATCAATCTTCCATGAATATTCTATATATTATCTATACTAGGACTTAAATGTACAATTGAGTCAGGTGCCAATAATATAATTCCTCAGCAAGAAAAAAAGTAGTATTACTCCCTTAAATGAGAATATTTCTTTGGGATCCTGAAGGCCTGCCAACTCATTTTTTTCAGCTCAGGGGACATGAAATAT